ATAAAATACATAATACACACGTAAATATACAAGTCAAAACATATTTAAAAAAAATTCATATAAAATATGAAAAACACTGCCCAATAGTTCTTTAGTTTTATTTTCTAACTGTTTAATGTGGATCTTCATGAGAGTCGTATGTTGATCGTATGATTTAATACAATCATTTGACTTTTTAATTTCTAATAATAAACGATCTTTGTGACCATTAAGAGTATAAAAACGCCTCTTATTACGCCTTCGTATTCTCTGTGATCGTGTGCTAGCAGTGTTTTTATGTATAAACGTTTTATGTCGGATTTATTGTCGTGATTTTTATTCTACAATTTGGGCAAGTCCAACGCTCGTCTAGATTGTCTCGCTCGTCTAACCATTTTAAAATGCACTTTAGCCCAAGCATGTGGCCACATGGCAAAGAACACGGCCGGTGTTTAGCCAAGTTGTATTCTTCATAGCATATTGGACGTGTCAGTGCTGCAAGAGATTTATAATTTATAAATGAGATATATAATTTATAATTTATAAATTAAATAAAAGTATTTCAAAATTTAGAGTAATTCAAAGTATTAAAAATAAGCTTTGGAAATGACATTAGTCCAGCTGACACTGCCGGCAAAGTATTTTATAGACCTATTCCGAAGAGTTCTAATATAATACGTGCCATAATACGTGGTATTCGTGATATCATTTTACCATGTTCAGATCCGATCAAAGTAGATGTAGTCCAATCAATAGAGACATTTAAATTGCATTAATTCTGGGAAGCGATTTTAATTTTTTGTCTGTTTCGGAGGGTTATGGATAGTCTAAAACCGGATTTTCGGGATTTTAACCCTGGAATGTTAGCCGCCATTTTGATTAGAAGGGTGATTTTGTTTTTATTAAATATCTCGCTTATTTTCAACTTTAGAGTGAAAGTGGTTTAACCAAACTTGTAGAAAATTTAATACTCTACAATTTTGGTCCTTATCATTTTTCACCTAGGATCGATATAAGGAAATAAATCCGAAAAAGTTGAAAGATGTTGCAGTTTTAATCACTTTGAGGTACAAACAAAACGAAAAGACCTACTTTATAATTAAAATTATATGATTAAAATATAACATATAAAATTTTTTCTATTAAGTCGCCGACTTTTTAAGGTGTAGATAGTATTAATAGGCAATGAATGCTTTTTCGACGCCTCTGCGACTGTATATACTTCATTGTTTACATCTTCTATCGCTTTTTTTTGGTCCTCCTCTGAGTATCGTTTATATGTTCTATATTTTTTCTCCGGGTTGTTTGTTGGTTTTGGAATTTGGTTTTCCTGAAATAAAACAATAAAAAAGATCGTAACATAAGACAAAAAATATATCTTAGAAACTCTGTTTCTAAAATAAAGATTTCTTTACCTTATCCTTATCCTTGTCTGAAGTTTCGGGTGGTTTTCTCGATCTCAACCTAGGACTCTGCCTTGGTCTATTTTCGTTGCTTGCTTCTGCCGAATGTTTAATATATTTTTTGGAGGATTTGATTGTTTAACGTCATTATATAATCGAAAGAAAATTTTTTCTATTTTTTTATCAAGTTGCCGACTTTTTAAGGTGTCTATAAAGGGTATTAACAGGCACCGAATATTTTTCTGACGCCTCTGCGACACTATATCTTTGGTTTTTGAGGTCTTCTATCGCTTTTTTTAAGCCGAGTATTGTTTGTATGGTTTATAATTTTTTTTTTTAGGTTGTTTATTGTTTTTGTCATTTGGTTTTCCTGAAATAAAACAATAAAAAAGATCGTAACATAAGACAAAAAATATATCTTGGAAACTCTTCTAAGTTTCTAAAATAAAGATTTCTTTACCTTATCTTTATTTGAAGTGCCTGATCTGGCTAGGATCCTGGGACTGTGCCTTCTGTTTTCTGGTTCTGCCGAATGTTTAATATATTTATTTGATTGTTTAACGTTGGCTCTTATGTAGCCCTGTTTCTTTTGATTGGATTTTTAACAACTTCTACTCACGGTTTGTAACTGCTAACGCCGGTCTGTTATTCTTTACAGTCTTTTTGGCGTTGGCATTGGCGTTGGCGGCGTTGTCTTCCTCATGCACTTGAAATTGTTTTTTTCTGGCTCCCGCACTGCTTGCCATTGTGATCTTGGAAACTCTTCTAAGTTTCTAAAATAATTTTAGTTTAAAATAATTTAAGTTAATT